GTTTGGGAGAAGAGGGAAGAAGGATGGCATGTGGGCTAAGCTTACGGTGGGCTCTCAACCCTATGTGTACATGTCCTTGTTTCCTGCTCTTCTGTGTTCTCGACATTCTTCTTCTTCTTCTTAATATTTATTTATTTGGCTGTGCTGGGTCTTAGTTGCGGCATGCGGGATCTTCATTGCCGCGTGCAGGATCTTTAGTTGCGGCATGCCAACTCTTAGTTGCAGCATGTGGGATCTAGTTCCCTGACCAGGGATCAAACCCAGGCCCCCTGCATTGGGAGCATGGAGTCTTAGCCACTGGACCACCAGGGAAGTCCCTCGACACTACTCTTGAGCTGAAAAACCTCCCTTCTGTGGTCCCTATGCTTGGTTTGAAAAACACTATTTCCAACCAGTTGTAGATTTCCCAAGAATTCTAGGGACTCACTAGGTAAAAGCTGCCAGTGAGCACCAGTGGTCTCTGTACCTTCCCTCGGGCCGTGCCCTCTGCCTGGAACGCCCATCCTCCCTCCACCAAGCCACCCTGATCCACCTCCTCCACAAAGCTACCCTCTTCTCTGCAGTCTGACCTCCTACACCACATAATTAGCCCTTTCTCCACTCCCCACTTCTTTTCCAAAATAGACTCAAGGCAGTTTACAACACACATCCGAGCACAAAAACACTAAAATTACAACAGCGGAGTTCGGATGAGGTGGAGTAAGAATTTTATTAAGAAACCATGGCAGAGGAAAGCATAGCAAGTGAACATAAGGCGAGCTTCCTCACAGCCAGGGCAGAAAGGAAACAGTAGAAAATGAAGCATTTCTTACCTAGTAGAAGAACGCAGACCTGCTAAACAGGAAGCAAAAGTATCTCCTAGCTCTAAACTCAAGAGCGACTTGTCTCAAAAGTCTATAAGGGACACCATACAATATAATAATTTGCTCTACAGAGATTTTACCCCCAAAGTGCAGATCTATTCAGCCTGAGTTACCGGCACAGTATCGGAGCTTAAGTCTTGTCTTGCCCTTGCCCTCTGACACCTTGTCTTTCTCCTCCCTTCTGCTCTCTGCTGGGGGCAGCTCATCCAGACTGGGCACCTGAAAGAGGCCATTCTGTGAGAGCAGTTCACCATCACATTGCCCTGGATGACTCTGAACACAGAGCTGCCACATTCCCAAGATGTCGGGAGCGCAGCACTCCCTCTGGGGTTATGAATAACGCAGTGCCATTAGACGTAGGAAGCTGCAGCCTGAGAGGGACGACCGTGAGGCAGAGCCTCCTGTTGCCACCCTTTCCAGAACCGGGGAGGAGGGGAACTGACTCCTCTCTCCCACAGTAACTCGTCCTTCTGGACCAGGGGTGGTTCTACGAGCTTTGCAAATCCAGTCCGTTGGTGCTTTCACACCCATAGCAAGGAAGCAAGAAAGAAAAACGACACAGAAAACGGCCTTACCCTGAGGCAGCACTCCTGACCCAGGCCCTTCACTGTGACAGAGCAAACCTACTCGAATTCTGCTCTGTTCATTCAGGCTGCTCCACATCGCACGAGTGCCTTGAGAATCTTTCCCTTCTCCCAGCAAAGTGTCAAAACAATTGGTGCGGTGGCAGGAGGCTGAGGTGTGGAGCCACGGACCGGGCTCAGCCATTCACAGGTGTATGAGCCTCAAAATGCATAGACATAAGATGGAGATAATAATAGTACTTACTTCCACATGGTTATTGAGAAGAATAAATAAGATAATGTATGCGGAACCTAATTATGAAAATACAAAAACAAGAATTCTGCATACAATTTCAGAGGTCCACAGACTTCTAGGAGATCTTCAGGTTAAGAATCCTTACAGGGCTTCCCTGGTGGCGCAGTGGTTGAGAGTCCGCCTGCCGATGCAGGGGACACGGGTTTGTGCCCCGGTCCAGGAAGATCCCACATGCCGAGGAGCGGCTAGGCCCATGAGCCATTTGCCGCTGAGCCTGTGCGTTCGGAGCCGGTGCTCCGCAACGGGAGAGGCCACAACAGTGAGAGGCCCGTGTACCACAAAAAAAAAAAAAAAAAAAAAAGAATCCTTACAACCTAAATGTCAAACGACAGATGAATGGTTAAAGATGTGGTATACATATGTACAATGGAATACTACTCAGCCATAAAAAAGAATGAAATAATGCCATTTGCAGCAACATGGATGCAACCAGAGATTATCATACTAAGTGAAGTCAGTCAGAAAGAGAAAGACAAATACCATATCATATCACTTATACATGAACCTAAAATATGGCACAGGGGACTTCCCTGGTGGTGCAGTGGTTAAGAATCTGCCTGCCAATGCAGGGGACACAGGTTCCAGCCCTGGTCCAGGAAGATCCCACATGCCGTGGAGCAACTAAGCCCATGGGCCACAACTACTGAGCCTGTGCTCTAGAGCCTGTGAGCCACAACTACTGACCCCACATGTCGCAACTACTGAAGCCCAGGCGCCTAGAGCCCAGGCCCTGCAACAGGAGAAACCACCGCAATGAGAAGCCTGCGCACCGCAAGGAAGAGTAGCCCCCGCTTGCTGCAACTAAAGAAAGCCTGCGTGCGGCAACAAAGACCCAACGTAGCCAAAAATAAATAAGTAAATAAATTAATTAAAAAAAATAAATAGGGCTTCCCTGGTGGTGCAGTGGTTGGGAGTCCGCCTGCCGATGCAGGGGACATGGGGTCGTGCCCCAGTCCGGGAAGATCCCACATGCCGTAGAGTGGCTGGGCCCGTGAGCCATGGCCGCTGAGCCTGCGTGTCCAGAGCCTGTGCTCACAATGGGAGAGGCCACAACAGTGAGAGGCCCGTGTACTGCAAAAATAAAAAATAAAAATAAAATAAAATACGGCACAAATAAACCTATCTACAAAACAGAAACAGACTTGCAGACATAGAGAACAGACTTGTGGTTGCCAAGGGGGAGGGGGAGGGAGGGAGGGGGAGGGGGGAGAGGGAGAGGGATGGACTGGAAGTTTGGGGTTGGTAGATGCAAGCTATTACATTTAGAATGGATAAACAACAAGGTCCTTCCTACTGTAGAGCACAGGGAACTATATCCAGTCTCCTGGGATAAACCATAATGGAAAAGGATATAAAACAAGAATGTCTCTATGTGTATAACTGAGTCACTTTGCTGTATAGCAGAGACTGGCACAACATGTAATTCAAGTATACCTAAATTAAAAAAAAAAAAAAAGAATCCTTAACCTAGCCTGGTTCCTGAGTCAGGAAGACAACAGCTCTTGCCAACACACACATCTTCTCTCTGAACCCCATCAGCATACACTGAGCACCTGCTGTGTGCCGGGCATCCTGGCCCGCGTGAATGTCTTGGTCACCAGTGTTGTCAGCACATCTGAGGGGTGGGGATCATTCCCATTCAACTGATGAGGTGCCGTAACTTGCCAGAGGGCTGGTGGTGGAGGAGTTGCTGCTGAAATCTGTCTTCTGACTCATTCAGCTGTCTTTCTGAGAAAAGGCTGGCGAGGCTTCCTAAGGACCAAGGCTGCTCTTCACCCTGCTCTGTCCTGTCTGTGCCATTTCATGCACACGAAATCCCAAGCACACACCTTGGGTCCTCAGACTGGCGATGATTTCCCCCAAATCAGCTCTGGGGGTGTGGGCGTCCGCGAAAAAAAACCCACCTGGAGGAGCCCTTTCCGCTGCAGCAGTGCCAAGTCACTCGATCACTTCAGCAACAAGGTCAAGGGGAGACTCCGGTGTCAGAGACTGAGTTCTGACTCTGCTTCTTATGGTGCCCTCAGGAATGTGACCACCACTCCGAGGCTAGGCTTCCACGAGTGTGATAGGAGAAGACACCTCCAACTGCCTAGGGTGCTTTGTGGGGCTGTAGGTGTGAGGCCACTGCGCAGTAGCTGGCGTGTCAGCCCTCCCTGCATGGTGGCGACTCTTACCTCAGCCTATCTCGGTTTCCAGATGAGGAGACCAAGCCCAAAGAAGTGAGTGAATAACAGCTCACCCGGTCTTCTTTCAATTTATCCTTTTCAACCATACTATGCATGCTCCCAGGCTGCTCTGACAAAGATTTCCCTGTTTGTTGCACGATGATCACGGAAGGGAAGAAAATTTTCATGGCGCATTTAAATACCTCAGGGGATGAAAAGGTCAGGACAAATAAGTCATGCTGACACCTGAAAATGACTCTGTAGAGGTGGGGGAAGCGGTGGAACAGAAGAGGGAGGAGTTGGAAGAGGGGGCAGGATTTCATATGCCAGGGACAGCCCTGCCTCTCTCCAGGGCAAGAGCACCTGCCTGGAGAAGGACAGCGCTTCCAGCCCAGCTTCCTCTGTTTTCAGGACAGCTGTCATTTTTCAGAAACCTCACTAGCAAAGGCAGCCCTTCCAAACAGCATGAAAGCTTCAGTTTGGACAAATGATTTAAGCTCATTTTTGCAGGGGAAGAAATGGATTTACAAAGCAACCAAGAATATTAAAGAGGCAGCTGAAAAGGCAGCCAAGAATCTGGCTTAGGGATTAGAAGCACTGGCTTTCTAGGCTGTGGACAACTGTCTGCTCAATAATCATCCAGCCTGGCAAGAAGCACACATTTTTTCTGTGTATCCTCGGTTCCAACTAGCATTTATCCAGTGTCTGTTGTGTGCCAGGCACCAAGCAAAAAGCTTCTTCTTGTAAATTTCATTTATTGCCAATGAGTCCGAGAAGGTGGCATCACCAGTCTCTTTTTCACATGGGAAACAGGAGCAGAGTAAATGATTGGCTGGGATTTGTCGTACATCCCCTGAACTCCAAGCACAGTGCTGGTCTCCACTAGACCAAGCTGCCTTGTCCTTGGGCTCAAGAAAATCCTGCAAATCAGCTGAAGGTCAAGAGGGTGCAGGCTCTTCTGATGAACATACGCTTGGACCTTCCTGCCTTCTCACGACTTCCAGTGACCACAAGATCCGGAATTCAATGTCAGATCCAGAATTCAGTCATTTTACTGGCCCACATCCCCTTAAAAAAATGCCACAACAGGGGATACAAACATTTAACACACTTTATTGATTTAGGGGCTGAACAAGGCAGCATTTGGACAGTTAAGAAAGGCACCTCATTGAAAATAATACATCACAGTGTTGTTGAGTGATCCCAGTCACAGGATTTGAGGATGGAAAGGACAATCTTTGGATAAGGTCGCTTAGGACACTTGCTCATTTATTAAAAAGGGTCCTTTCACACGACATGGATGGAGGAAGGCAAGAGTGTGGGACTGTGGCATATGCTGGGTGGCTGTCGAGGGCTTAACCACGAGAGCCGGCGGGCTGGTACATCAGTGGTAAGTTGGGAAGGGAGTGAGACCAGCCTGCTCCACCTGCCTCATGACTCCAGTAAACCTGATTTGCTGAGCCACTACCCCCATGAACATACTCTATATCTCTTTCAAATGGGGAGATGACTTTTTGATCTCATGGTATGGGGAACCAGGGTTAGTAGTCAACTCCTGCCCTGTTCCAAGCTACAGGACAGACAGGACAACAGTGTGATTTCCGGCATTCCTGGGCTGGCATGAGGTTCTGATAAAAGCTGAGGTCTTAGGGCACTGGCTTTAAAAAATATCGTCACCAGTCTGGAGTAAATGACAACGTGATTCCTTAGAAATAATACTGCATCTCCCTGTTTCTATTTATACCCTCCAATCAGTGTTCTAAAAAATCAATTTTTCCCTTTGCTTATACTTTTTAAGGCTCCTACTCCATGGAAAAGAAGTTGCTTCACTACAGCACTGCTGCTCTTCCCATTCTCCTCTTGAGCTCTCACCACTCCGCCCTCTCCATCCTTACCCTGACCACCCCTCCCCTCTGCCCAGCACCTAAGAGCAGGGATCACGCCGCAGGGTGATGAGCAGTGGTGCAGTCTCGCCTGGCCTTCTGTTACTAGGCTGAAATAGAGAGGAAACAAGAGAGAACAAAATGGGTTTTTAAAAACCAAGTAAATATCAGAGAAGCTTGGCATGCACGCCCCGGCAACCAAATGCATTAAACACCGGACATTTCTCTGCCAGGTGAAAGCTCTCATGCCTGCTGAGGTTAAGGTTCTGGAATTAAACGAAGCAAAAATTGAATCGTACCTACCCCCAAAAGGGCATATGCAACCCCGACGATCTTCCAGTTTTCACTGATAGCCCAAAAATCACACGCACGTGTGTGCACACGTGAATGCATATAGACGGATGACAAATATCTGAGTAAGGATCACGCACACTCTATCAGCAAACATTCAAGGACCTCACCTTTGAGGCCAAATGCCTGCAACTGTCCCTACTCGAAGAGGAATCGACTCCAAGATTCACGAGGCCACCCTCACCCAGAGAAGGAGCCCAGATCCCCACAGACAGAGCTGACAGTTTTGGTTTCACTGCCCTTCCTTGTCCATTCCCAGAAGTCATGTGCTTCCCAGAAACACCCCATGCCAGATTGGGTTTCCGCTGAGAATGGATGGAGTTAGTTTACAGCCAGGGAAACAAGGCAGAGCAGAGTCAGCAGACACTCACTTGAAGCAGACAAAGAGGGACACGAGATGGCCACTCTGTCCACCTGCAAGCTGTACCCATAGCCAGCTTCCAGGTGGACAGAGGACAAAACCTCTGGCGGGCCCATAGACAGCAGGAGAACTCACGTCAGATGGGGACTGGACACTTTATAGTCCACTAAACTGAGTCAGCAGATTACACTGGGCAGGTGGCATTATTTATTGGACCTGCCACTGATTTTTTTCATGGTTTTTTTCCAGAGGCTGCTGTTTTTGTGGTCCCTCACAGCAGTCTATTAATTCATCTGTTTGCCCCAAATCAAACCAGAGACCAAAAGGCACAGCACGGACCTCAGGAAATGTTTAATAGCTGGGAGCTGAGGTTAAGAATAAAAGCTGGTTACTGCCATAGGTGATCTTATTTTTGGGGTGATCCTTTCTTGGGGAGACTGGCCACCACCATCATGACGTAAGGGGTGAAGGATTGGATCTGGAAGGGAGATGGTTTGAGTTTAAAAGGGATACATCTGATTTGGGTTTCACATCCTGCAGAGAGACTGGGTTTGAATAAATTCTAATCAAAACGATCCCAAAATGATCCTCAAATCACTGTTTTGTTCATACTTGGAAACAGAGGCGAACATTAAAAATAAAAACAAACCTACCCTGGTCTCTCTTTGGGGAAGTGGACTGGCTGCCCTCAGATGCCCAGCCTGGATGTTCAGAAGACTGTCTAAATTCAAAAGGACCTTTCACCTGGTTTAATTCTTTGGCAACAATTCAGTATTCAACACAGGTCCCGGATGATTCCTACTTTACAGAACCATGGTGCAGTTCACAGAAATATTCCAGCTTGGCCTGGCTCATTCTATGCTGATACCCTCTCCCAGTTAATTTCTGGAATCTATAATGTAAGCGCCTTTTCCTTCCTGTTTAGGGGGAAAAAATTAATGATCCCTTTCCACACACTGACTCATTTGGCTTTTCATTACGGGTGAGAAAACAAATGGAATTTCTGGCCAACAGTCTGCCACTAGGAACTGTGGCCCTGCCTGACTTCATGTGACCCAGGACTTCTAATTAGCTGTTGGAGATGGGAAAAATACTAGGGAACTGGAATGCCTGGTAGATACCTGAGTTAGTTTATTTTGGTCAAAAAATAAAACCTAGAGTATGGCTAAAGAAATAAACAGCTAGTAAAGCAATCTTGCCTATAATTAGAAAGTAGGAGAGTGTACACATACTTATACCAACACACTCATGCGCACACGCACACACGCCCACACACACAGATGAGATGAGAGTTGCACACACGCCAAAGATACATGAAGCAAGTGCTTTTTTAATCAGTACATCAAACGATACTCTTGCTGGCCTGAAGCAGCTTCCCTCTGCCTGCTCTGCCATTCCCGCCCACTCCTTCAACAGGGATAGGAAGAAGAAAGAAGCTCCTTTCTGGACCCAACATTATATAAACATAACCAAGTCTTTACATGTGGCTTTGGAGAAGGCTGCTAGGATGCTTGCAAACACAACGTCAGGGGTCTGGGAGGCATCGATGGCAGAGTGGATCCCCCGTTTACTGTAGTACTCCACCAGCGGGGCAGTCTGAGTGTGATAGGCCTCCAGGCGGATTTTCAAGGCCTTCTCATTATCATCTGATCGGCGGACCAAGGGTTCCCCGGTGATCTGAGAACAGGAAGAGGGTAATGAAAGGCCAGGACTCAGCAAGTTCTCCTAATCCAATGCTGGACGCAGATCTGAGAGGCCGTCTGATCCCAAAGTCCGTCAGAGGGAAAGACAAGACATTCTAGACCCCCTCCAATAAAGAACTATAAAGAACTTCACTATTCCCAGCAAGTTGGTCCCAGGAGCAGACCACTTGGTCCAGAGAAATCAGGGAGCCTGAAACAGCAACTGTGAGGAAAGGGCTGAGACAGGGGGACAGACAAGGTCTTTCTCTCATGGCTTGTGCTCAGGCTGTTCAGCTTCCAAGACAAACACTTCTGGGGTGAGAAACAAGAAAGACAGAGGCCCCTGAGACCAGGAGAATACATCAAAATCACAGATGCGGTAGCAATTAGGATCTTAGCTGCATAAGTATTCAGTGTTTTCACTGGGGTGCCGGCCTTCAACATTCTGAAAGTGGCAAGTGACAGGGAACACTGAGTGACAGAACTGCCAACTCTGTGAAACGTGACTAAGTTGCCAGATAGCTTTGGAACCTGTATGACCTGATGAACTTGTCTCATATGGCAAAGGTAAATCCAGGAAATTCTTACTGTTGCCTGCATGTTCTAAAACAGACAAGGTGAACTATTTATGGCAAATATTACAGTGTGAGACCCCCCTTTTACATCTGCAAACAATTAAAGACTGTCATAGGAACCTGGCAGTGTTAACCTGGCCAAGCTCTTCTGAATCTGTAGGGCACAGTACAGTCACTAGAGAGAGAAGATATTCTTCTGAAGCAGGACTGGTCAACAAACATCTCTTCAGTACTGTCCTTCCAACCGTGGCTCTAATCCGGGGCTTCCAAGCAGCCTTCTCCCGATTAGTTCACCATTTAGGTTGCCATGATGCCAGGAAGGGGCTGCTCTGGACAAAAGACAGGTACAAACTGGGCACTGGGAAGTTGCTGGCACTGGTGGCTACCTCAAGGTCAAGCAATAAACCACTTGGAGGGACACTCTAAAGATGAGCCACAGCCCATGTGATTTACGTGACAGCAATATTTCTCATGGTTAAGTTCGTAAGATTGGTAGGAATAAGGGGAAAATGGGAAGAACAAAGGGAAGAAAGAAAAAAGAAAAAAAAGCGAAGTAAGAGAGAGGAAGGAAAGAAAAGGAAACTCCCCGTCCTGAATTTACATACATCATCTTTCATGGGCTCCTTTGGGGGGTTGAACTCCTCGTGGTAGGAACGGCCACTCTCGGGGTGAATCAGTCTGAAAGACAGCAAATGAACAGGAATCAGGCTGCCGGAACCCCAGGGGTCTCCAAGATGACAAGCACAGACAGAGAAGCTGGATGCAAGGACTTTAATCCAGCAGAGAACCTCGTTATAGGAATCTCTTGCTTAGGAAAATAACTGGGCATATGCCAGAGGGAGTATGTTTTCTCTCTTTTTTCTCTCTTTTTTTTTTGTGGTACGCGGGCCTCTCACTGTTATGGCCTCTCCCGTTGCAGAGCACAGGCTCCGGACGCGCAGGCTCAGCGGCCATGGCTCACGGGCCCAGCCGCTCCGCGGCATGTGGGATCTTCCCGGACCCGGGCACGAACCCGCATCTCCTGCATCGGCAGGCGGACTCTCAACCACTGTGCCACCAGGGAAGCCCTGTTTTCTCTTTTGACCCAACATTAAAATACGTGTCTGGCTGAAGAGGCTGGTATAATGACAGCCTAATTCGACTGTGTGAGACCATTCCGATTCAGGCCTTAAGCTGAATTCAGGGGCTACAGAGCAACGAGTCACGATCCCTGCTCACAAACAGTGATTAATTTAGAGGGGGAGACAAATGTGGAAATAAATAACTACAATAAATTTGGTAATCCTTTAACAGAGATTTGGACAAAGTGCCATGGGGGACAGAGGACAGAGAAACTAACCTTATTTTCTAAACTAGTTTGGTTATAAAACCAGAAAGGTGCTATAGGAAAAACATGTGCTATGGATGTAGACATCAGCAGACAATGCTGAACAGCTCTGCGACCACACAGACACAGAAAGCCCAGCCATCAGAGGGAAATATTCAAGGCATCAGGGAAAACAACATATTAAGTCATAGAATAAAGAGCTCAAGAAGAAGCATTTACTTGGCACAGAATATGTAGCTGGCAGCTGCATCTCTGCCGTGTCCCCTTAAGCAACAAGCCCACGCTCCTGACTGGGAGTGGTCACACCACAGGAGCCCCGAAACCTAAGAAGGAAAGGAGGCAGGCCAAACGCTGCTCGGCAGCTGGTGCCCACAGCTTCGCGTGGCTTCCCAATTCTATGCCAACCAAGGTCTGCTTATTTACCTGATGGCTACTCTCCTCATGAAGGTCTGTTAGGCCGGAGCTTCCCAACATTTTCCACCTCTTGGCATACACAGAAAGTACTCAGCGTGCTTGCTCTGGTGGCTGAGGGGGTCAATATCTCAGCACATCAATTGGGAAAGTCTGGGTTAGACTATCGAAGCCACATGTTTGTAAAATGTGATACTGTGTTTTAATGACAGCATATTTTGGGGGGCCAAGTGGTCCATTTATAGAATGAGGTGGTCCATTTACAGCATGGGGGACAAGTTGATAGCAGAGTGAGTAAGTTACACTGAGTGGGCCTGTGACTGCAATCATGTAACACGAGGTTGGGCCCTCCTTTATTTGAGTTGCTGGAGGGGTTCCTCTGGTGCATCCACTGGGAAATGACACCCACTAGGAGACCCAAGGAGAGGAAGAGCAGAAGCTGCGGGGCTCAGCTACAGCTTTCCTTTGGGAAGGGCTGGGGGCATGAAGTTTCTATTTTTTTGGCCACGCTGTGCAGCATGCAGGATCTTAGCTCCCCAACCAGCATTGAACCCATGCCCCCTGCGGTGGAAGTGTGGAGTCTTAACCACTGGACCACCAGGGAAGTCCCTGGACCTTGTTTCTTCACCTTCTGGAAAGCACAGGGCACACAGCAGCCAGGCTGCAACAAACACAATTCTCTCCTCTCCATGTCTCTACATCAGCTCTTGCGCATTCCCAGATTCCCTCAGCCCTCCAGTTACATATAACACTGCTCCTTCCCCACTTCCAAGTATCATTTTAAGAAGAAGGCAAGATTCATTCCCTAGAAGGGAAAAGAAACCAATCTCCAAGTTCTTAAAATGGGACTGGTCTTAAGTACCAACCAAAACAGCTCTACAAGCCACTGAGCCTGGCCTGGATGCGGAGGTGAAGATGTGGAGGGATCGGGCTGGGATGCTACAGCCACTGCTACCTTGGGTGTGATACTTCAGACACCTGTTTTCTCATCCACAAAATGGGGATGGTACAAGACATTAGGCTAATGATACCAGAAAGCCAACAATGAATAGGTTAAAATCAAAACCCACCAGCCATACTTACGGCAAGAAATAAAATAATAACCCATAGAAGTGAGGTCAGAGCCAATTCTGAAGACATTTACAGTGGGGTCCTTATCATGTCAGATTTAAATAAGATCCATATTAAACTGGCTAGTTCCTGACTCTTTTTCTTGCAATAATCAGCATAGTGGATGAGGAGGCAGAAAGCAGGTTTTTGGTGCTAGTTCTGCCACTGATACGCAAGTGGGCTTGGAAAAACACCTTTACACAGTCTGACCTGTTCTGTTTCCTCCCCTGTAAGGGAGAGGGCCACACTACACCACTCACTTCCAAACCGAGAGACCGAGTCTTGCCTCTTTCGCCCTCTACAATTCTGGAGTTTGTTCTTCAGAAACTCTCAGTGCCCCACCAGCCAACCCCAGTCTCCATCACTTCACCGGTGGATCACATCAGGCTCCTCCAAGTAGGGTCCTTGTCTGTTTCTTATTTCCCTCAATTTAGCCTGTATACCAGGACCAAGCTAATGTTCTCAAAATGCTGTTTCTGCCACAACGCCTAGTGGCTTAAGAACATCCCATGATTCCTGACTCAGTCATGTCTACCGTCTCTTCCTTGGCAGACCTTCCCCAGCCAGGCTCCCATTCCACCTTCCCAACCGCACTCATTCTACCACCCAGCCTCCCAGGCCATTTCTCCAGTGCTGGACAGACATTTTGCCAGAAGCCTTAGCTAGAGCCTCTCCCTCAATGCATACTCATTCTTCCCTCTACTCCCTTATGGGAAAGCCTCAGCAAAATCCTCTCTATCCAGGAAGGTCAAGTCAGACTTTACACCTGTCCTAGCCAGACTTCCCTCCCTGCCCCCAGGCTGTCTTCCTGGACCCCTACTGCACTAAACAGCCCAGGTTTCATGTAGGGATTGTAGACGCTCTGAGGTCAGACATGGGCACCAGCATATTGTTCTATATTCTCTACTGGTCCCCTGCTCCCAGAGCTGTGCCTGCACAAAGCAGGCACTTAGGAAGCTGAGCTGATCAGATCAAAGGCCCCTCGTGTCACCTAGTACTATTAACATCTGCTTTGCAATGTCCGGGACCCCAGCCCTGGTCATGTCCCTTCTTGTCAACCCTACTGCTCCTTGGACTACATCAACTTTGCTTGCCTACTCTGTGCCAGAGTAAAGAAACAAAATTCCTGCACTGAAGGAGCCTATGCAATAGCTGGAAACATGAAACCTGGACATTTGAAAAGAAAATTAATATAAGGTGGATCCCACCGTATCTAACACAGCCTTCCAGGAGAACACCTCTAACACTTACTCTGCTGCCTCTCTCCTTAAAGATATGGACTGCAGACACATGGAGAAAAATGTTCAACCTCATTAGGAAATCAAAGTAATAACATTTATAATCAGAAAACACTGGCCCCTTAATTTAAAAACTTACATGTCCTATGATGGCCAAAGCATGAATTTAACAATGGAAAACTGGAAGAACACAAATGTACAATAATCGGGGAACAATTAAGTAAATGATGGTTCATGTACTGTGAAATATCATGCAGCAATTAAAAATAATGGTCATGGAAGTCTGGTTCAAGATGGTAGGCTGACCACCTTCCTGAGGCTCCATTAAAGTGACTAAGGGGGCTTCCCTGGTGGTGAAGTGGTTAAGAATCCGCCTGCCCATGCAGGGGACACGGGTTCGAGCCCTGGTCTGGGAAGATCCCACATGCTGTGGAGCAACTAAGCTCGTGGGCCACAACTACTGAGCCTGCGCTCTAGAGTCCACGAGCCACAACTACTGAGTCCCAGTGCTACAACTACTGAAGCCCGCGTGCCTAGAGCCCGTGCTCTGCAACAAGAGAAGCCACCGCAATGAGAAGCCCGCACACCGCAATGAAGAGTAGCACCCGCTCACCACAACTAGAGGGAGCCCACGCACAGCAACGAAGACCCAACACAGCCAAAAATAAAAACAAATAAATAAATAAATTTTAAAAAAGTGACTGAGGGATTAAAAAAAAGCTATATAGCCCATAATAAGGACAAGAATGGGAGGGTCTGTTAGTGGTTGAGAGCTTCCCACATATTTTTGGAAGGCATAAAGCAGATGGTAGCGCGGTAGTGAAAGAGGGCTGAGGAAACTGTAGCCTAAAGCAGTGGCACTTTTTAGGAGCAAACTCATCAGAAGCAGAAGCATTTCTGTGTTCAACGTTAACTACTATAGTGAAATAAGCACTTTAAAACAAAACACGCAAAAAAATTATAGAGTTATTCGCTAAGCTGGCTGTACCATGAGCAAGTTTTTCCTCAATTTTCTAAACTGTATAGATGGTCCTATTATTTTTATAATAAAAAGCCTACAGCAAGGTATGGCAACTTCAACTGAAATCGGACTTAAAAAGCACTAAAATGGAGATACAGATGTAAGGAATTTAGTATTTCTTTTCTTTTTTTTTCTTTTTGCGGTACGCGGGCCTCTCACTGCTGTGGCCTCTCCCACTGCGGAGCACAGGCTCCAGACGTGCAGGCTCAGCGGCCATGGCTCATGGGCTCAGCCACTCCGTGGCATGTGGGATCTTCCCGGACCGGGGCACGAACCCGTGTCCCCTGCATTGGCAGGCGGACTCTCAACCACTGTGCCACCAGGGAAGCCCAGGAATTTAGTACTTCTTAAGCACCCAGGTAAGCAAGGCTCTGAAATATGCACAACATGCTATCTACCATGCACAATGGGTCCTCGAAGCAGGTACTATTACTTCCTCTCTACATATGAGGAAACAGCCTTAGAGAGGTTAAGAAACTTGCCTAGGGTCAGAGTTAAAAGATGACAGGACTGAGTTGCTGCTGGACTTCAGATCCCTTGCTCTTCCTTCCATATCCCCATCCTATGTCACCACATAAGGTCAATCCATGTGGAAACGGCACTAAGCTTCATGGCTGGGATTAGGCCGGAGCAGTTCCTGTCGTCTGACAAAGCTCTGAGGAAGCATGAAAAGAAGGGACCTTCAGGGGACAAATACCTTCCTGTGATTCTCCGGATCAGCAGAGAGTCTGGGATGCTGAATTCAATCACAGAATCAAGCTTCTCTTTCCTCTTCTCCATGAGGTCATCAAGCTGTAAAAAAGCGTGTGGCCCACCTAAGCTACCAGAGCTTGATAAGACCCATTTCCCTCAAAGGAATAAAGAGATAGAGGGCCAGGATTTGCTTTCATGCAATGGTGATACAAAACCAAGCCACTCACCATTTCTGCCTGCCTCACAGTCCGAGGGAAGCCATCTAAAAGAAAACCATTTTTGCATGGAGGCGTCTCCAAATTCTTCTCAATGAGCTCCACGACCATTTCATCGCTCACCTGGAAGTCAAGAACAAAACAATCTTGGGGTTAAATCCATTAACTAGGTGGCATTAGCCCAACTCCAGGGTCATAAGTTTATGTCTGTATAACCTGATTACTAAACAGGTTCTTGACCCCAAAGAAGCAAAAATCAGAGCAAATATGGAGTGGCTCCATTTGGAAGATTCAGTTTCATGATTATTTCTGTGGTTGCCATATACACATTCTCTTCCCTTGAGATTCTCCTGTGTCCCAGTAATCTGGGTGAGGGAACAGGAGTGCCTATCACCCCACCAGGAGACCCCCATTTCTTAGGTCCTGAAGGCCTCTCTGGCCATTAGTCAGAGTCCTAGCAATCAGATAACAGCTCCTCAGCAATCAGCTGTCTTCAAGACATAAGTGAGGACATATGGCTGAGAGACCACCTGAGGAGGGCTCTAGGAGAGAATGGGGGTTGACCAGAATTGTAGAAAGGCACCAACTTTACCTGTTTCACAATTTTGATTAGGCTAACAGTAAAGCAACCCAGGCGGTCTCGGACAGGAAGCAACAGAGAAGTTCACTGACCTTGGCAAGACTGGTTCAGAACCAAGGAACCAAGAAGCCAGCCCAACACTCCTCTGATCCCCTCTAAAAACCCCAACAAGGACCCTTCCTAGCTTCCAAAAACCAGTTTTCCTCCTGGGCTTTCACTGCAAGAAAAGTTCCCTGCCAGTATTAGAGTGAAGGCTGCCCATTTTGGTAGCTAATGCTCTTATCTCCTGGGACCAGCTGTGAACTTGGGGACAAAGTATAAGCTCTGCGACTAAGTGAAGGCTGGAGATAAGTAATCTCATTGCCACAACCCAATTTTTTCTCAGTACGGGATCTTCCACCAAGACCCAAAGTCCAAAATATCTAGCTTTATGGCTTGACTTACGGCCTCATTAACATGAAGGGAAAGCTAGAAGTAAAGGGGCAGCTGGGCGCACAGGCAGGGCTACCCCAGGTCCAGAATCTCAAAGCCTGACGGGAGGCCCAGCACCCACCCCAACCAACATTCTAAGATATGTAAAGACCAGAGAGCCAAGCACAAAATGACTTCTTCCCAAGGCCAAGTCCCAGAATAACTCAGTTACTATTAAGCTCTGGCACTAATCAAAAAACATTTAGTAGGTAATAAATTGTACTTCTCCAATCAGATCAACTGGACTAAAAACAAGAGGAAATGCTATTATATTCACCAAATAAGAAGGATTACTTTTGTCAACTGCCAAGCAACCCCTCTGTTAAAGACACAGAACAGAATCACAAAAGTAGATTAAAAACACTTCTGAGACTTCCTGAGTCCTCTCTTGAATCACCCTTGAGTTCTGGCCTAGGGATGGCAGTTTCATTCTTGGTCTTAAAACTGGGTATTTAAAAAAAAAAAAAAAAGTAAAAAACAAACAAACAAAAAAACCTGGGTATATTACAAAATGTGCCGGCACAAAGGAACTTCAAGAGTACTGTGAATAAAATAAGTGTCATAAATTCAGAATGAACCAAGTAACTTGCTACTGTAAAAGTTCATATAATGTGCCGGTTTGTTAAAACACCCAACAGCACAGGGCTGTCCAACAGAACTTTCTACAATGATTAAAATGTTCTATATCTGTGCGGGCTAGCAACAACTTGAAATGTGGCAAGTGAAACTGAGGAAGTTAATTTTAAATTAAATTAAAATTAATTTCAGTAGCTACATGTAGCTGGTGCTCACCCTATTAAGCAGGGCAGATCTAGACTCTGAGGAATATCAACATTCACTGGTACCACCAAACCTACCAGTTTCCCGGCATCCATAGTTGCCTTCAGCTTTTTTCCCAGCTCTGAGCCAGAAGCCACCATGGCTCTCAGCATGTCCCCAGTAGCCAAATGGCAGACACAGAAGTTTTCAGCCAACTTGGGTGCCTATGAAGGGGAAGACAAAAAACAAGATATGGTTAACAGTGCAGGCCTTGGAGTTAGACTGCCTGGGTGTGAACCTGGCCCTGCCACTTACTGGCTATGTGAACTCTGACAAATGCCTATTTCCTTACCTGTAACTGGGATAAAAGTACCTTACATTATATTCTAACATATGACTATAGGGTTATAGTTAAGAATTACATGAGGTAATACATAGGCACTTAAAACAGTGCACCTAGCACAGGAAGCCATCATAAATATCAGCTATTATCACTACTTCCACTAGACACACTAGTGACACATAAGCCTCAGTTTCCCCATTATAAACGGGAAAAACAGAAACAGCAGTACCAACACTTCACACGGTTGCTCGGAAGTTTAAAAGAGTTTATGTATATAAAGCACCCGGCACAATGCCTGGCATGTAACGTGCTGAATGAATATTCGCCAGAGGGATGGACGTGTGGCTGTCAAGTACTGCGGTCACCAGTGTGGGAGGCAGCTGGAGCCAGGCGCGGAAGTCTCCCTCAGGCAGACTCGGTTCTTCCCTTCCCTGTCTCTAGGGTACCTGCATTATCTGGGCCAAATCACTTAACCTCTCAAGAGGCTCAGTTTTCACATTTGTCTAAAATGAAGGCAAAAAGTCTCTGTCTCAGAAGGTAGCTGTGAGGATCAGATGAGATATATATATGAAGAGCACCTGGCAAACAGTAAGTGCTTAGCAGCTTTAGGGAGCAGTATAGCCTTTTGGCTAAGAGCATGGGCTTGAGAGTCAAACGCCTGGGTTTCAGACACCAGGTTCACCAACGGCTGGTTATGTGACATGAGAAGAATTATATCACTTTTCTAAATTTTAAATTTCCTCTAGGTATAATGGAGATGGTAATAGTACCTATATCACTGGGTTGATGAGATTATATAGAATTCCACATATGCAGGGCCAGGCACTTTGTAAGTGCTCAGTGAACATCAGCTGTTACTGTAATCCCTGTCTTAATTCCATATTCATTCATACAGAAAGAAAATACTAATACTTCGAAGATGCCTCTTCTAAGAACCTTGCTGGGTACCAGGGAAACAGATGAATAGGAGACACAGACTCTGTCCTCTATGAGTTCATAGTTTGGTGACTATACCACAGAATGAAGACTAGAAGAGACGAGACCCTGGAGAGTCCGACATTGGTTTTGTAGTGGCAAAAAAGAATGCAGAATTCATGAGGAATAGAATCAGTTCAAGGAGCTTAACACTTTGCTTTCTGGTTCAATTGTTTTGGAAAAGAAGTAGGGTGGGAACCTTGCTCAAACCAGTTCATTGGGAGCTTTCTTAGGTGCACATGGTAAAGGCTAAATAGATAGGGCTCAGGGCAACAGTGCTGGTTTGTGACTCATGGACTGATTCAGCTCAGAGCACTGACTTCATAGCAAAATGGAACCCAGATGAGGTATTTAAAACCACACTTGGGAAACCAGTGAAGGTCAGGACACTCTGGTGATGGAAAACCTTCTGGTCCTTCGGGCTGGCACAGTGGCCACAAACCCAGAGAGCTGTGCTTTTCTGCCGATCTTTCTCCTTGGTTGCTGAAATTAACTTGGGTGAAAAATTGGGAGGTCAGGCTTGTTCCAGGGGAAAGAGTAACCAAAACACCAGAGAAGAGCTGTTAGCACCTGACCTTCCAATTTTTACCACTCTAAACCATAGGACTCTTCTGTGCCATTTCAGGTGACTAGATTCTACGGCTGTGTGGAAGCACACTCCCAGAGGGAAGACGCGGCATTGCGGAAGACTAACTCCTTCATTTCTTGCTGGCTGCACGGAAGTCAATGGGGTGGGCTGCAAAGAGCATGAAATTTGGAGTCAGACAGATTTGCACATGACCCCTGGCTGCCCTCAATAGCTTTATGACCTTTGGCTAGTTACTTAATTTCTCAGAATCTCAGTTCCCTTACCAGTCAAATAGGGATAATGTCTACTCCATAGGGCTGTTGTGAGGATAAAATGAAATAAATATCAGACACACCGTAGGCATTCAGTAAATAAAAGACCTCCTTTCAAGGTCTTTCTTTTTTGCATTACTCTTTACTTGCAAACTACAGAAGAAGCCTGATGAAATAGCTGTATTTCATTCCCCTTACACTTCACGCTTATACTTTTTTTAGAGGAATGCTTCCCCTACTCCAAACCACCTGAGGGTACTGCTAAAATGCAGATTCTGATTCTACAGGGTGGGCCCTGAGCATCTGCATTTTAAACAAGCTTCCAGGCCTGGCTGTGCTGCTGACCCCTGGACACACTCAGCTGCTGCTGAGGCCCTGAGACACATGTGTCTCACTAGCCATGGGCTACTGTTGAGCCCAAGAAATAGGCCCCCCATCTGTAGGAGAAACCTGTGGTTTGGGAAGGGGGTGTGGTTCAGAATGGCTAAAACCACTAGGGAGGCAGCATGGTGAGGTTAGTGTTCTCAAACATCAGTGTATTATCACAATCACCTGGGGCACTTGCTAAAAATACAAAGCCAGGCCCGCCCTTGAAATGTATGATTGAGTGGTTTTCGGGTAGCATGGTGGGATTCTGACGCACACAGATTGTGAAGCCCTGGGGCAGGGGTGTAAGACTGGGTTTTATAGTGGTACAGATCCGGGATTTACAGTTTACTCACTGTGTCACCTAGAACAAGATATATAGCCTTAAGGCCTTGGTTTCTTCATCTCTAGAGTACAGTAAGTCCCCTACATATGAACCTTCAAGCTGCAAACTTTCAAAGATGCAAACGTGCGTTCACATGTCCAATCATGTAAGTTCACGTGTCTGGCATACATTGTCACGTGTGTGCCTCCTCTACAAGTGGCTGCGCTTTTGTGTACTTTACCGTACAGTACTGTATAGAGTACAGAAGTATAGTGTCTTTATTTCAAGCCCAGGGTGTCCTGAAACAAGTGTAAAAGCAGAGGTGATGTAGCTGGTACTGCTAAGAAGCGCCAGGAATTGGAGGCCCAGAGAAAGGACGAAGACAGACAAGAGGAAGAAGTAACTGCAGAACTGAAGAGATTCACGACGCAGGAAATGGCAACGGGATTTTCTTTATTTGAGGAGGCACTGTTAGTTTTTGAGGCACAGCGCCTGAACGTTGAACGGTACACGAAGGTTGCAGCAGCCGTTCAGAATGCAATCCAGCGGTACTGTACCATCTATGATGAGAAAAAAAGAGGTACTACCCAGACATCACTGGATCATTTTTTCAAGAGGGTAGATAGAGTTGAATCCAGCAAGGAACCAGAACCTGTGCCATCGACGTCAGGCGTGAGTGAAACTGCAGCTCGCCCTCCATCTCCTATAGCTGACGATCCTTCAGCTCTACCATCTCCCAGCTCCTCTCCCTCCTCCAGTCAGTAACTCTTCTTGCCTGTTCACCCTATGCCCCTGTATGCCAGCTGTTGTACTGTACCACTGTACTTTTCAAGGTACTGTACTGTATGCTTAAAAATGTCTTCTTTATTTTATTTTTATGTATTACTGGTGTGAAAAGTATTATAAACCTGTTACAGCACAGTACTATATAGCTGATTGTGTTAGTTGGGTACCTAGGCTAACTTTGTTGGACTTACGAACAAATTTGACTTACCAACGCGCTCTCAGAATGGAACTCGTTTGTATGTAGGGGACTTACTGTACAGACAACAATGTCTACTTTCAGAGCTGTTATGGGGATTTGGCAAAATCATATACGCAAAAGAATCCAGCATAGTGCCTGGCATTTAGGGAAATAAAGGGAAAATGTCAGTCTTTAAGATTTGATTTAATCAAGCTCACTTGTTTTCTTACCTCGAAATCATCTTTCTACTGCTGTCTTTCCCACTTCCACCTCCAATGCTTCTGTACATGCAGCTGCAATCATCTCCTAAAATACTGCTGGACATACTACCCACCCCCCAACAAACATACATTCAGAAGCCTCAACATTCCCCCAGGGCAACAGGGGAGAAGTCCCCATACCTTAGTCCAGCACTCAGTGTCGTCCACAACCAACTTCCTATACCTCCCAAGCTACTCAAATTTGCCTCCACAAGTCCCCTCAGGATGCCCTGCACAACGGCAAACAGCTGCTCTATATATGCTTTCCAATTACATAACATAAGCCTCTCCATGGACCTCGGCTCAAGATCCTCTCTATGCAAGAATGCCCTCTCCCTTCCTCCTACTGGTCCAAGCTCTACCCTCCTCTGTAGTCAAATTCTGAGCATATCTCTCCCACCAAAAATCCTCCCCAACTACCCTTTCTTCCTCCAAGAAGGAATCATATCAACATCAGTTAACTGGGTGTTTGCAAGATGCCAAGCAATTTTTCCATGCATTGTTTTACAGTATTTAGTATGTATAATACATAACAAATATGTTAGGTAGTAACTATTTTTATGTGCATTTTACAAATGAAATTCAGAGGCTAAGTTGCCCAAGATCACAAAGCTAGTAACAGCAGATCTGGCAACTGGCCTCAAGACTGTTGAGCCCTAGCTCTTATCCATGACACCACATGGCTTTACTAACACCCCCACCCCCCCGCCAGAGCCTTAGTGGCTGTCCTTGGGGAAGTGTGTGTATATGTGTGGAAGGGAGCACAAGGAGGCCTTCACAGTGCTGGCAATGTTCTGTTTCTTCATATGGGTATAAGCTACACAAGTGTGTTCACATGTGAAAATTCATCAAGCTGCCCACCTAGGATATCTGTACCTTTCTCTATGTATATTATACTTCAATTAAAAAGTTTTTTAGGGCTTCCCTGGTGGCGCAGTGGTTGAGAGTCCGCCTGCTGAGGCGGGGACACGGGTTCGTGCCCCGGTCTGGGAAGGTCCCACATGGCGCGGAGCGGCTGGGCCCGTGAGCCATGGCCGCTGGGCCTGCGCGTCCGGAGCCTGTGCTCCGCAACGGGAAAGGCCGCAGCAGTGAGAGGCCCACGTACCACAAAAAAAAAAAAAAAAAAGTTTTTTAAAAGCACAGAAACTTGTGTTTGAATTTCAGCTCTGCCTGTTAACTGACCATGTAACCTCAGGCCAGAGATCCTTTAATCACTATAAATTGGATATATTAGTACCAACATCACTGGGTGTGTAGGAGGAAGAATGGAAGATTCTCAACAAATTATAGTTCTTTTCTAACCCTGAACTGTCCTAGCATTTGTCAGTCACTCATCTCACACTTCCCATATGGTACTCTGCACTAGTAAGTACTGCTTGCATGCACGTTCATTTCTGCCCCTACACCTAGATTGATAGCAAAGATAAGATGGTAATGCTGTTCAAGCATCAGTCACGAATTCAAATCCTATCTTTGCTACTTTATGTATGTCCTGGGGCAAGATACACACTGGGCCTCAGTTTACCAGGCAAAGGCAAAGATAACAACAGGACCTTCCTCCTAGGGCTGCAGGATTAAATCAGATGACACCTGTAACATCTTTGGCTGTGGGGGGTAGGGTCTGTCACGTAACCCAGCAAAGGGTGACTATTTTGCAATATTAAACCCTCTTGAGGGCAAGGGCTGCCCTGCATCTCTAGCATGGAACTTATCCAACAAAACATGCATAGGGCAGGAGACAAATCTAACCCAGGGCAGCAGGTAGCAGCAGAAAGAGCAGGAGCTTTGAAGTCATTCAGATGCAAGATCAGCCAATAACTTGCCCTGTAACCTAGAGCACAAGCTCTTTGAGCTTTAGTTTCTCTACCTGTAAAAGGGGGTGTAAGAGCATGGGTCTCACAGAGTTGTTTTTGCACTGTGAGCGTCAATGCACTGACATAACTGACAGAGCCTGACCTGCAAGATGGCAGCTGACGGCCTAAGTGTGCTGGCCTTGAAGAACTGGTGTCAGCTGGACACATGGAAGAAACTATGAAAGGGGCTGGCAGAGGAAACAGAAAACATACCCGTTTTGGCCACACCATAGGAACATCTAACCCTAAAAGGGAGACAGGGAAGTAAGGTTATTTAAACAAAACAACAAATCCAAGTGTTCCAGGTGTTTTAGACATTATTATGTTGATGCAAAAGCAGGTAGTTTAAAAATGTTTAACTATTTTAGTTAAAAATAAAAAGTTGTAAAAGGAAACAGATTATTTCAGTCATGCCAACATTAAATACCTAAAATACTGAGTTATGCAGGTATAAAAGGAAGCACTAGTGGGAAGAAAACAAACATTACTGAGCAGGCACTAGGCACTAACCCAGGTTAGGATTTTACATCAAAGATCACAAACATTTACCAGGCAGGCAACACAAATGAAGTGGGTCAAATAAAGCAACAGGCAGCGAAGAGGGCTATGCAGGGGACAGGAGAGCACATGGACCGCCCAAAGCGGCATCCCCACTCAACTGCGTGCCACGCTGGAATGGAGGCCCAGAACCACCAGATCTGACTTCTCAAGAGAAACGAAAGCTCTGGATTTTTAAGTGAAATTTCACAACTGAAAACACTGTGTGGTCAACTTATTATTTTGAAAGCTGACAAATTATAGGAATAAATCAAGCATTTAACCTACCCTTACTGTACAAACCATACCAAATAGTAGGTGAGAAGTTTCTCTTTATAGAAATATTTCAGCTAATAAATGAAAAGGGAATGATATAAGTAGAACATCATCATTTTGCCACCCACAGTGAATTCCTGGAGCCAGGCACTGAACACCAGAGATAAGCAGACACAGTATGCCTCCTAATGGACAGCACACCGCCACCTGTGATGTAGTTGGGTCAAAAATTGAACCCAGATCTGGTTAATTGTTTTTTTACAGGAAAGAAAGAGGAAGATGTTAAGTATGGCATGGGGATACAATAAAAAAATTCTCAGAAAGAGGGATACTCCCAGAATAAACAACTTCCACAAAAAAGCTGCAAGGAAAAAAAAGGGGGGGAACCTGTAAATTAAAAGGGACTTGAAATGATCATATTTGTGAGACAAATGAATGGAAATGTAAACATTTGCTGTTATTATTTTTAGGGGATAGTGTGCTTGTTTACAAAAAAGAATTCGTCTTTTAGAAATACACACTGAAATATTTACAAATGAAGTGTTATAATGTCTGGGAGCTGCTCTAAAATAATCTGTGAAGGAAGAGTGGATGGGGAAGGAATGGCCACCAGCTGATGGTAGCTGGGGCTGGATAATGGGTACATGGGGGCTCATTACACAATCCTGTCTTCTTTTGTGTATTCAAACTCTTCATAATAAAAAGCTGGGGTGTGTCTGCAGGCTAAATTCTGCTGCAGGCTGCCACTGTGCAACCTCTGATTTAGGAACACTGTTCTTTAAAACTCCATTAAAACTACAACCACCAGTATTCCTATTGTTCCAGTTATGGAGAGAAAGGTGTACAGAGGTTAAGTGACTTGTGTAAATCTTACCCTTAAGTCCCAGCTCTAATCACATCTCCTCGACTTCTACAAGGCCTTCTCTGACCAACTCCCATCATACATACACCCTTATAAATCAGCTCATAGGATAATTTTCTTCAAAACTTCCTGAAAACATTACCCTTTACACCGAGATACAGCTGAGTTGGGGGGTGGGGGGATGTGTTACTAAGATAGGGAGTCAATAATTAGTGAACATCTAGTATGTGCCAGGTTGTCAGCTAGGTGTGCTTTACACACATATATAACATAATTTTCCAGTATCCTTGTTACCTTTTGGTCTAGGGGGGCAAGGACCTTATCAGTTTTCTTTACTGCTCTGTCTCCAATGTTCGGTGCTCATGACATGTTGAATGAGTAAGGTTAAGTATTAGCCCCATTTTTCAGGTGAGAGCAGTGAGGCTTAGAAGTTACAAAGCTTGCTAAACTATAAAGCCCTTGTCTCAGCACAGGGATGGGTTGTCCATTTCACAACTACTGAAATTATTAACTTCAATATGAACTAAGAGAAAACAACTGATGCATTTGAGCTACCTCGTTTATCTCGGTCACTCCGCAAAAGTCCGTAGAGTTTGGGATTAAACATTCCTAAACTGCAGGTTACCTAATAACTGAGGGTGGTAGCAACAGGAAAGAGGAGCATTCAATGTTACTGAGGACAAGGGGGTTGGGTAACAATGACCCTCAAGGGCAAATCGGCTCTGGCTATAGAGAGAAAAGGGGAAGTGGTCTTTCTTCACCTAGTAGACACAGCCAAAAAGCAAAGTCACAGGAATGAACTGAATCTCTAAGACTCCCCTTCTCCTCATCACCCACATGAATCTGTGTTCATCCATTTCCAGTAACCTCATCAAATAATGTGCTGGGTGTCACAGGAGCCCCAAGAATGAGTAAGACAAATGATCTGTCTGCCAGGACTTTGCAATCTTTGCAAGGGCTCAGAAGAGGGGGCATAGAGCAGCACCCAGAACCCCATTCCCTTAGCAGACCAGACTTTCAGGAATTCCCTCTTTAGACCCTAACAGCAAGCAAAAACTTGAGGGGGGGGCAATGCCAGACCCCAGGCAGGAGGAGGATATTGATAATCCAACCTATGGGCTTCGAAATCCTAAGTGAGATCATAAATCCCAACCTTGATCTATGGGCCCATTATGTCCCAGGTGCCAAGTGAGGCCCCACGGTCAGCAGAAGGTAACTTCAGACTCCAATCACTCAGAGCCCTGAGGTTCCAGGCTCCATGAAGTCAATTTTGCTAACCTGAGAAAGCCGCCTGACCTCTCTGAGCCCGTTTTCTCACCTGTATATTGAGGTACTCTCTCCCATCCCCCCAACTTAACTGTCTCAGGCAGGTCATACCTCATTTCTCTTAGCAGTACTCCTAACCAGCACAGGCCAGCTCCCGCTTTCCCCCATGAGTGGGAGACGCTACTCCACCTTCAGGCATTAGTCATTACCAGAAACGTCCCCCTACCCCGAGTGCCTGGAACGTAACCCTCGACAACCCACTACCAAATCGCAGGCAATCTGGGGTCCCTGCGTCCACTCGGGTTGTGTAATCTACATGCCTCAGCCCAGGGCGCACCTTACCCTTCAAATCTTCCCAGCTTCTAAACCCTTAAGGGATCTAATCAGTCCTTAGGATCACCTAACACGGCACCTCAAGCCTGGGTCCCTCAAGAACTCTAACTCAGACTCCCTCGACCTCCAATGTGGACCCTCCCCCAAACACCTGCTAGAACCCCAGACTCCAGCCAGGGTACCCCTCCAGGCTTCAGCCAGCGGCCCGGCTCAGGGGCGACCCAGACCTCTGGCAGCCCTGACCTTGGAGTCCCACGGGCTCTGCCGACAAGCCCGGCTCAGCAACTCACCTGGGTACCCTTGCCGGCTCCGGGCGGCCCCAGAAGCACGGCCCGGATGCCTTCAGGAGACTCTCTAGCCGGTTCGGCCATGGGAACGTTGGGAGCCATGGCCGCCGAAACCTCTCGCTGCTCAACCAGCCGGCAGTCCTCCCAAGTCCACCGCTTCCAGGCCAGCGCGCCACGCACGCCACGCACGCCCCGCTCGCCGTTCACACTGGCCCGTCGACACGTCCGTCAGCCCACTCCGCCCACCCCTGAGAGCGACGGAAACTTCCTCTTACCAACCACTCAGCGATACTGGGGAAGGCTGCTTTTGATTGGACAGAATCGGTAACGGAGTAAGGAAGGGGAGGGCCATCACGGACGCGGGTGTGGGGCGCGCGGCGGGTATGCGGAGTGGGCGGGAAAACATGAAGCAAACCTAGAGGCCCGGCTGGGAGTTCTAGGTTGGCTTTTGACAGTTAGTGACACCGGCAACCCCAGTGAAGTCCTATAAAATTGCCCGTGGGAGTACAAATGGGTGAAATCAGTCTTAGAAGACAAATTGGCAAATATATATCAAATATCCTTTGGTCCAGCAATTCCACTTCCAGGAATTCAAAGGACATAATCTATGATATACGTGAAGATCTGTCTCACAAAGATACTAATTGAAGCACTTATAACAGCCCCAAAGTCCAAAACAAGTAAACAAAAAAACAAAAACAAAGGCAATATGCTAAATGTTCAACGATAAGAGCTTAGTTAAATAAATTGCAACAAATTTGTATACTGGAATCCCCCCCACCCAATGCATAAAATATTTAATTGCATGGGAAAATGTTCACCAAATGGGATACAAAACTACAGTTGCAACAAAATCCCAATTTGTTTGATAGTTACAAGTGATGATCTATGTATAGTGTGATTACAGGAGCTTCTCCCCTTCTTTATGCATATTTATATTTTCAAAAAATTCTATAATGAATTCTGTAATAAACAGGAGAAGGTAGTTTTTCTCAAAAGAGATGACCTTCTCTTGGACAGATTTGGTGTGTGAAAGTTTCATCCACACCCCCCATGAAGCAACCCCTGAGGTCCTGGCAAGACCTTTAGTCCAGAGAGTGATTATAAAACAATTATGTTTCCCCACAGGCTTATTGCAACTCATTTCCTCTCTTTTTTTTTTTTCCTGCCGTGCCACGTGGCATGCAGGATCTTAATTCCCCGATCAGGGATCAAAACCCATGACCCCTGCAGTGGAAGTGTGGAGTCTTAACTACTGGACCGCCAGGGAAGTCCCGGAACTCATTTTCTGTATCCTGGAAATAAATTTTCTATCTTTTCAGCTTGGTCTCTTCTATTTTACCTCACAAAAGAAGTTAACATTCATTCCTCATGCCCGCACTGGACTTCCACAAGGTTCCTGACCTTAAAGGATGCAGGGATTTTTATGCCCATTTTTCAGGAAGATATGCAGTGACCAGCCCCAGGTCACACAGTTAGCAGAGTCACAATTAACACTGAGAATGGCAAGCTGGTACCCTAGAGAGCACAAGATTCATGGGCGTGAGGGTGGGGAGCAAGCATATTTTCTCTGGTGGAAGCCTCTATGCGCCCCAAATTCACCTCAGTCCAAGAAGACCAGAGTTTATCAAGGTTTCATGTGCCCGAGGCACCAGACAAGAGGGAATAAGAACAGCCTTTCCCTTCTACCATCACTCCCGGCAGTGATCCTGACCAGGCATGGAGCCCCCGGGAGACAAAGCAGCTAAGATTACACAGAAATACAAAAAATGTCAGGTTTATTCATTCAATTTTTTTTTTGGGTTCACGGGCCTCTCACTGTTGTAGCCTCTCCCATTGCGGAGCACAGGCTCCGGATGCGCAGGCTCAGTGGCCATGGCTCACGGGCCCAGCCGCTCCGCGGCATGTGGGATCTTCCCAGACCGGGGCACGAACCCGTGTCCCCTGCATCGGCAGGCGGACTCTCAACCACTGCGCCACCAGGAAAGCCCTTCATTCAAGTTTTTTAAATGTCCTAGTTTGGGGCCATACTAAGGATCATAAAGGGAATATTGATAGCCCAGGGAAAGGAGAGAGTACTCCATTCATTTATTCACTCAACTATTAAATTTAAAAAATATATATTTTATTTACTTATTTATGTATTTACTTGGCTGCGCCAGGTCTTAGTTGCAGCACACGGGATCTTCGTTGTGGTGTGCGGGATCTTTAGTTGCGGCATGCATGTGGGATCTAGTTCCCTGACCAGGGATCCAACCTGGGGCCCCTGCATTGGGAGCACAGAGTCTTATCCACTGGACCAGCAGGGAAGTCCCCCAACTATTAAATTTTAATAATAACTGCTATCATCTACTTGTTATTGGGTACTGTGCCAGCACTGTGCTCAGCACTTTAATATGCATTGTTTCATTTAATTCTCACAACAAAATATAAATGAGGTAACTACTTTATTATCTGCATTTTTTAATTAAAAAAATTTAAAAGAGTTCTTTATTATTATTTATTTATGTTACTTATTTTTGGCTGTGTTGGGTCTTAGCTGTGGCATGCAGGACATTTTCGTTGCGGCGTGCGGGCTTGTCTCTAATTGTGGCGTGTGGGTTTTCTCTTCTCTAGTTGAGATGCGTGAGCTCAGTAGTTGTGGCATGCAGCCTTAGTTGCCCCGCAGCATGTGAGATCTTAGTACCCTGACCAGGGATCAAACCTGCATTCCCTGCATTGTAAGGCGGATTCTTTACCACTGGACCATGAGGGAAGTCCCTACATTTTTTAAATAGAGGAAACAAAGGCACAGAAAGTTAGGTCTGTCTGACTGGCTGGTACCCAGTACTGCCAGGTGACAAGACAGTTTCTGCAGATGTGGGACTCATGGTGTAGTTGCTTTCCAGCCAGAGGGATCATGGAGGTTTCTGTGAGAGGGACCTTGAAGGTTACAGAGGATTTGGCTTTGGGGTGGGGGAGCATTTCAGGCTGAGAGGAAGTTTGGAGCAAGAGTCGGGTGTGTTATGGGGTTTATTCAATGGGCTTTGGGGAATCAGGAAGTTTCTTAGGTAGGATCGTCATGACTAGATTCACATTTTATAAAGATCACTTGCAGGACAGACTGCAGAGGAAAGAAATGAACGCAAGACAAGCTAAGAAATCTTTCTGTTAGTGTTTTGTGGTAGACAAAATAATGCCCCCCAGGGCTTCCCTGGTGGCGCAGTGGTTGAGAGTCCTCCTGCCGATGCAGGGGACACGGGTTCGTGCCCCGGTCCGGGAAGATCCCACATGCTGCGGAGCAGCTGGGCCCGTGAGCCATGTCCGCTGAGTCTGGGCGTCCGCAGCCCATGCTCCGCAACGGGAGAGGCTGCGGCAGTGAGAGGCCCGTGAACCACACACACAAAAAAATAATAATAATGCTCCCCAAAGACGTTCACATCCTAATCCTGGAATTTATGATCATTTTACCATACTCAGCAAAACGGACTTTGCAGATGTGATTAAGTTAAGGATTTTGAGATGGAAAGATTATCCTGGATTATCTGGATGGGCCCAATATAATCACAAAGGTCCTCATAAGGATAAAAGGGAGGCAAGAGAGCCAGAGAAGATGTGATGACACAAGCAGAGGTCAGAGTGGTGTGATTGCTGGCTGGGGACCACAAGTCAAGGAATGATGGCAGCCTCTGAAGCTGGAAAGGCAGGAAACAGTCTGCCCTAGAGCCTCCAGAAGGAGCACAGTTTCTGCCGACACCTTGATTTTAGCCCCATAAGATCCATTTTGGACTTCTGACCTCCATAATCGGAAAATAATACATTTGTGTTGTTCTAAGCCACCAAATTTGTTAACAGCAGCAATAGGAATGAATGCATGTTCCTGGGGTGCAAGCAACAGAAACAGACTCTGGCTACATTAAGCAAGAAAGAAGTTAATTGGGAGGATACAGCTGTACAACTCCCAGCCCCAGGAATGAGAGGAGCCAGAGCTGCTTTGGGTAATCTACAATAGATTTCAGGAACAAGGGCACAATACTGAGGGGAATGTTTATTTCTTCCTCCAGCTTTTTTCCATGTGGAGGGACCCCTTTTAGAGTAATACTCTTGCTTCCTGCTGCACCCCCTCATCCATCTATCCTCCCCAGAGGAGGAGGAGGAAGAGTGACTTATCTGATTGGTAAGTTTAGGGAGAAGGAATGGAGCTCAACTCAGCTCTTCCTCCTTCTTTCTCTTTCAGATCCACCTCCCACAAGAACCATGTTTTTTGCTCTCTTCCTCAATGTTCTAAGCTTCCCAGGGTCTGGCCTTCACAGGAAAGACCACAATTTTCCAGCACTGCCTAAGACTGGGTGGAGAAGATTAATTTGGGGGTTCAGTATTAGTAAACCCGCTTGTCAATCGGACTGAAAGGGACATCCCCAACAACTTTGTCAGTAATAAAGCTGATATTCTGATCTCCCTCTGCCCTACTTCTGTAGCTATCTCTCTTTTGATTCTAAACTTGGGTGAGGCTACCCCCAAACAAACAATTTCTCATGGATGCTATGACTGGAATGACTCAGCTCAACTGTTTTCTGCATCTGTGCCATTCCATTCAACAGTGAAAGTCCTGGCTTGGCTTGGGTCTCATGTTCGCCCCTTGGCAAAGGTGGAGAGTACCTTGACTGACAGTCCCCTCAAGACTTCAAGAAGGGAGAAGTAATTCCCCCAAAGCAGATGATGACAGTTTCCAAAATAAAGAAGGAAGAACTGTTGGACATGACAGCTGTCAAGTCACAGGTAGCTATTGCAAAGGTCCAGGAGAGAGGTAATGAGGAACTGGACTATTCTATGGGGGTAGAATTAATGCGACTTGACACCAGACCAGATGGGGATGAGAATGTCCCAGTCTTGGGCCAGGTGAATAGGGGGATGCTGGTGCCATTAATATTCATCTCATTCATTCTTCAGTTGGTTGATTCAATATACACTTAGTGAGCATATATTATGTGCCCAGTATTGTGCTTCGTGCTAGGGATCCAGTGGTGGACGAGAAGGGTAGGATATCTACCCTCATAGAACTTGCAGTCAAGTGGGGAAAAAAGACAAGATGGTGAATTTCAGTACAGTGACGGAGGCTATGCTGGGGAAAGAACGGGCTGCAGCAGGAGCACAATGGAGTGGCACCTAGCCCGGATTTG